AATCCCCTTTCAGTTTTCAATTTCTCTTTTCATTCAGATTTATGGAGAAATTTCTTCCTGTGCTGCGAGAGCTCTCAGGAATATTTTTACTGTACAAGCATCTGATCTGATTAAAGACAGGGTGTACCTTTCTGGCATTTGCAGGTAACTCAAAATAATTCATTTTATCAACTTCATGGATTTTATGTGCATTTATCTATGCCCTCATTTAACAAGACAGTAAATTCTGAGTGTGAGATTTTGTGTGTTTTACTAAGAATTGAAAACATTGTCTTAAAATATTGTGTCTTAGTATCTTTCTTATGTTACTGTGTCAGTGGTCAGAAAGCAGCAGTGATCTGATTGTATATCCATTAATTTGTTTATGATTTCATATACAATTGTGTTTGTCAGTTATTTGGCTGAAAAGAAAGAGTATTAAATTCAACCCTGGTCTGGAGTTATAAAAGAGCTTAATTGGATTCCTAAGATTTGGTGACACAGGGATTTTTGCATGTAATTTATGGAATATTTCCGTAATGAAGTGATTTTCCATTTGTGTTGCATTACAGCATAAATGCTTCCTCTCATTTTCAATTACATCAAAATGTGCAGATCTCTATTATAGCACCATTCATTCATATCTGAATTTAAGAAAAATCCACTACTATTTTCAATTATTTAGGTATATACATTTCCCAGTCATGTGAGAGATCAAGAACATCCTAGAGCAGAACTCAGGGCCTCACACATATTACATAGGTGTATTGCTTATGCCTGTGCTTAGGAAGGAAATAAAATCCTGGGGCTAAAAGCTGGATTTTATTTAGCTCTTATACATCTTTGGATTATTCTGTGCAGCACAAATTGATAAATATATTACAAATTGTAAAGTGTGTTGCATAAATTAGGTACGTAAAGGAACTTGCTCATTTAACATGAGGTCCCTCATTGTAGTTAGGGGTATCCCCTGAGACTTGCCAGAGTAATTTCTTCCCTTGAATTGAATGGGATTACAAAAATTAGCAATTGGGACAAAGGGTTTTCTCTGCTGAACAATAAGATACACTTTTAATATCTTTAAAAATATAGCTCTTTATTATAAAGGACCATTTAAACATTGTTGTAGTGTAAGAGGTGATGTTTTGCTTATTTTCAGGAGAAGCTGTGTTGGATCAGAGCTGGTAGACTGGCTTTTGGAGCAGTGCCCTTTTGTTAAGTGCAGATCTACAGCAGCTGGAGTGTGGCAGCTCCTTCTGGATATGGGCATTATATTATCAGGTCAGTCTTGATTGTACTTCTAGCATGAGGAAGGCTATCAGTTTCCCCAGCATAGGAAAAGATTTGTGTTTTAGATAGAAGAAGATGAGAAAGTAAAATAAAAAGCACAGATTGATCCAGTTTTCTTGCCAGTTCTTTATTTTACTATCTTTTTGGTAGGCTCACCTCGGTGACCTTTAATTTGATAAATACCAAAGATTAGTCCTTTCTTTTAGACAATTTCCTTCCTTTTGCTTTTGCAAACGTAATTGTCTATTACCAAGTTGCAGACAGTGTGCATGTTCTTTCCAGCCTTTCTTTTTTTTTCTCCACAAACCATTTTAGGTTTTTCACAAGACAGCAGCTGTTTAGTTGCTGCAGATCATGGCTTCACCAGATGACTTCTGTAGGTATTAGTGGTTTTCCTTTCCTCTCTGTTTTCCATAATTTTAGATTACAATGGATTGAGAGAGGATTCAGCTCCTTGAGACGGTGGTGAGGCCAGGTTCCCCACCTTTTGTCCCCACTGCTGTGCCCACCTTCCCCAGCACACTGAGGGATTTGGTCCAGCTAATGTGGTTGGTGATAATTACACTGGTAACCAGCCTCTTGAAATCTGATGGACTTTATTTTCGGGCTGGGACCACTTAGGTAGCTCAACTCAGATCATACTCCACCCTGGGGTCTGTGATAGACATTTCTTTCTTGTGAAAAGGTGAGGTATTACGGCAGATTTCTGCATATGTACACTGACATTGTACTTAAAGGTTTTCTTCAACTACGCTGACAGTATGTCTGGTCATGCAGCCTCAACAAAGTCTGAATGACTTGCAGCAGGAGTTTGTGCTTTTGGCTTTGGACTCTGTCCTTCAATCCCACTTGAATCTCTTTTTTTTCAAGGCTGGCAACTGATGCATCATTTTACCCAGGTCTAATCTACAAATCCAGTAGCCCTAAATTGAAGGAGAAGCTGCATCTTCATTGTTTATGAGTTGATGACCATTAGTGGGAGCGGTTTAGAAACCATTGGAAATCAAGACTCAGAAATTTGACAAGAGGAAGATTTTTATTCCCTAATCACGAACTGATTCCAAAATTGATTAAATATTCAGCAGTCTTAATGCTTGACTTTCAGGAGCCCGGATATCTTCAAATTGAAGTTTTGGTGTTGTCCTGTTTGGATGCACTGAGTTGATATGAGAGGTCAGGATTGTTTCTATGCTGAGTTTTCAATCCTTTTGCCCTGTGTGGTGGTGCAACTCAGCATTAAAGTCAAGTGCAATACAGAATGTGGTGGGGACACAGAACCTTTACATGGTGAAGTTTTTAAAGGTATCTAATGTTATTTTTTTCTAACAGTGGACAGACAACTCTATTTTCAAGACACTAATGCTTTCTACCAGTTCTCAGCGGACGAATGTACCTACCTTTTCTGTGAATTTGAGAAAGAGGAAGGATGGAAGAATGGAGTAAAGCTCCTACTTCAACTACTGCCATTGTCTCCCCCCAGGATTGACATGTGTAATCTGTAAGTGTGCATATACAGCTGTTTTCAACTTTTGCTGACTATTTCGTGAGTGTCTGGCCTTAGCATGACATCATTTACCCCTGAATCACCTTGCAGATGATCCAGTTTTCTTTTGAGGGTTGAGAAGTTTTGTAGAGATGTGCTTTTTATCTGAGAATGTCAGTCTGGGTATATAAATTCAGGTGCCTGACTTGGGGATTTTGGCATGTTGTGGTTCTTAGGCATTAGCTTGCTGCCTCTAGCTTGCTATATTACCTGGGCACGTGATGTTTTTGTCTCCTAGCACATTTGGAGGTTTGTCATGAATTTGGCAGCAGGCATTCTGTGGAGCTGATTGACTAGCAGCTCAGATGCCCTTGTGATGTGTCAGGATCAGCTTTCAGATGAATAGAGAAGATAGGTGGAAATGTGGTAGCTTCAGTCATTTGATTTTAATTTTCTACTGTATGTTTGCTAGAGATGTGTAGTCGCACATTATTATTCCTATATCAGAATATGCCTTCTAAGAGTTTTGTTTCCTATATATCTCCTCTTTCACCTGACTGTTGGATGTTATTGTACTCCCTGAAATGACTGTGCTTGAATGTTGCCTGTTTAGAGCAGCTAGAGGCAAATCAGATTTAATTGTGCCACAGTGAAAAGCCATAATATAGGAAAATGTGTTAGTGAGAGCTCTGGAGGCTCATGACCCTTCATGCCTTAGCAAATCTGCAGGACTTGGCCTGGATAGACAAGTTGGGTTAAATTCTTTCATTGTCCCTAGCATGATGAATCCTCAAACCCGATACTTACACTGTGGAGAACTATTACTCTGGCAGTAGTGGAATTTATTCTCTTTGATGTCAGAGACAAAACTTTCTTCCATAAGTACTTTTATTCTCTACATATTAGCTTTTAAAAACACATTCTCTTAAATGAATGTCCAATAGAAATATTGTAAAGAAGCACAAAGGCCAAAGTCCCTGTAAGCAGTTTAAAGCCCAGATTCTTAAATTTAGACATTCAGCTGGTAGAAAAAAATCTCAGTAATTTCTCTGCATGTACCAGGGCAGAAATTTGATTCCCTCCCCTGCTGCTGATTGCCCTCACCAATCAGACATTGGCAGTTCTGGAGTGGAGCATCCCTTAAAAGCACATTTATTTGATCAGTTTGAGTGAGTGTAGATAAGTGACAAGGAACCCAAGTTGGTTAGAGCAGGGGACTGACTGAATGTGATCTTCTAAGCAGGTGACTCCTATGAGAGAAAACCTTTGACTATTTTTGAAAACAGAAATTCTTGTCTTCCAGCTGACACTGGTGCTAAACATTTTGTCTGTCCCTTAAATATCGGGGCAATTTCATCTTGGCTTCAGTGAGAATTGAGGTTTTCCTCATTATCACTGCAAATCAGGCCACTTATCATGGTTCATGACTACTTGAACAAGAGCTTTGAATCAAAAAGACAGAACAGATAGGCCATATTGATGTATTACACGAAGGATGTTGGGTAGGAAAATGGATTGAAGGCTTTTTAGGTTTGAGTTTACAGCCTGCTTTGCAGTTCTATCATTTCAGTGCAGCTGTCATTTCCAGTGGAGGATGATCCCTGTCACATGAATTGAACAATTATTCATTAATGTACGTTTCCTGCTCCTTCCTGCTCACATTATTCAAATTTTAGTTGAAGCTGGATTCCTTTAGGGAATATTGTCACTGAAGAATTGTTTTCTGGAGGCTTTACCTGTCAGATTGTGAGGGTGCTTTTTAAGAAAGTATATATTGAAGGAATCAAATTTTAAATAATGGTATACTCTCAAGGGAGTGTGATATTAATGGGGAGGGAGGCTTTTCCATGTTCAAAACTCTTCATGCTTGATGCAAATAATACACTGCTAAAATGCAGTCTGAAAGGGAATAGGTGTAATGAGGTGTTTGTTAAAGTTTTCTGACCAGGTTAAGTAAACCCATATACTCTTTTTCATGAACTAAAAAGGCAATTCTAAAAACTCTTCCCTGCAGTGAGTGTTCGTCTTTTCTCAGATATATAAGCTGTTTTGCATGCCATTAAAAGCATAAGGGGGTTTGTAATGTAATATCTTTTTATTCATTTTTCTGTCTAGGCTTTTATCATAATCTGTATTGAGGGCATTATCTCTGTAGGTATGTAGGAAGAGAGAAATTCTTACCTTATTAATTAGATTCCCTGCTTTTGATAAAATCAGAAGCAACTGCCTGCTTGTACACTAGAAGGCAATGTTGGATGTCCTCTGGTGGTCCCAGAGGCCAGATGATATCTGTCTCCTCCACAGCTGGTGGGCAGCAGCCTTGCCTTGCGTGGACTGCTGGGTGCATCAGTGGGTCTTTGCTTCTGCTCTTCCAGAAGGTGTGTGTAGACTTGAGTAGGTAGTACCAGTTTCAGGGACTTCCTTCAGCAGCTATTCTGGAAACCCTATTAAATAAACATGGCTTAGATTTGACTTGCTGTACAGATTTTTGATGTATTCATATTTGTTTCTGGTCTGTTTTAGTGGTGTTACCAAATAATACTGTAGTAAGTTCTACAATGAAAATATTGTCCTGAAGTCTGAGATGTGCTTATGGTTCCTGACTAAATGCTCCCTGTTGCCTTTTGACCTTGGCAAATTCCTTACATTCAACAAAATATTGCTGGGAATCCACCATGGAAAACAAGTCAGGACATGGCAGATTTTCAGCAGCTCACACTAATCTGAAGGCTAATGTTGTGTATTCCACAGGACTGAGACCCTGTAAATGTCAAATGAGATGGGACTGATGCAGAGACCTCTTGGGGTCATTAATCACAGTCAATTCTACTTGAGTACAAAAGAAGTGAATATTGCAGTAGCCTGGGAACAAAAAATCTGTATTGAAAGCCATGCCATGGACTTCCTTACAGCCTTGAGTAATCACTTAGGCTCTCATCCAATGCCTTCTGAATTCTTTTCCAGTTACTGTGATAGCATTGTATCAGGTGTTTAATCCTTGTGTGCTTCCATTTCCTTCTTTGTAAATAGGAGTGTTCATAACAATACCTAATTTCCAGAAAAATTGGTAACTCAATGAACATTTCAAGAATGCACTGTGTACCTGAGGACTATTGAAATGTATCCTATAAATCTTCTAAAAGTGATTTGAAGAGGTTTATTTTCTTTATCTCATAGTGCTTTTTATTTTCTTTTCAGAAGTGTTCACTGTATTCTATATCCTCTGTCCTGAAAGAATTTACATTTCATAAATTTCAGAAAAGCAGCCATTCTTTAAAGTATTTTTTTTAAAATGCAAATAGACAGGATGGAATATTCATTTAGTTATGGAGTTCCTGAAAAGTTTTTGCTGAATACAAGCAGCTCTCAGGTGTTACATGCAGACTGACTTGTCTGCATGTAGATCTGGGACAAGCATCTCTGCATCTTGCTCTGCTTAGCAGACTGAGTCCATGGACCACTGAACTGTATAAACATTAGACTAGTTTGCCTGGGCTTTGAGCTCCTCTTTGGTACCAGCCCTACTAGGTCCAGCTGTTCACTTTTGAAAAACATTAGGGTGATAGCTGTTGCTTTTTTTTTCATTGGCCTGGGTGTCATAATACACTCTTCCTCTCTGACTCTGGAAAGCTGACTACAATTTCTACAATTTTTAGTATATTAATGGTTTCAGACATATTTGATGCTCATACGCAGATGAATACTGTCACTATTTTTAAATAGAAGATGAAGTGGTAAAGGCCCAAGATGGAAATAACTATGCTCTGTGCTGTTCTGGGTGTATAGTTGCATCTGTGGCTGTGCCTACTAAGCTGCTATCTGCCTAGTTCTGAGCGATCAGAAGAGACCAGATGTGTGGAGAAACATAGGCATCTAAAAAAGTCAGTTATTTTAGTCTCATTCCAAAATATAAAAAGAAAGCCTGAATAAATCAGCCTTTGTAAATGAAAATGCACTCATTTATTTCTGTTGGGCTGTTTATAACAATTAAAATGTTAAATCACATTTTTCTTTGAACAGGAGAGGCAGTTGTGAAAATAATTGTGATTTCTAGTCTGAATTACCAGATTGTCTGAATATTACCAGATTGGTCTGAATATGGTTGCCCCCAAAATGAATGCATGTGTCATGCTGTGCTTTCTGACCTTAATTTTTTAATCAGGGAATGAAATATTTGGACATGGGATGTAAGAACCACCATATACCAGCTGCATATTCCAGATGCGTTGTCAGCTCTCTCCCTAGGGACATCAAGGCATACAAGCAATTAAATAATTTAGTCAAAGACAGAGGCTTCCGCTAATACCTGGGATTTATGTTTATTACAGCAGCTGCAGTTTTGTATATGTGTGCAGCTTGCTGACATGCCACTGCTTCTTGAATACCATGAATAATAAAGATCTCAAGGGCATTTTCTTTTGCTTCTCCTCATAATAATAACCCTATCATGGTGGTGGTGTGCTTCTGATTGTCAGCAAAGCTTCTGAAAGGCTCACAAATGTTTTAGTGATGGGAATTAGACTGTTTTAAAGAAAAACACAGTCCTATCCTACACTGTCCACAGCAGTTTTTGTGTGGCTTGTTCCATGTGGGCCAGACTTCTGTGACAGTTTCCAAAAGGGTTCTTTGTACACTGCCTCACTTTTGCAAAGACACATGAAGTCTTTCTGTCCTGTGAGTAACTGTCAAGACAACCTAATAGTGTTCTCAGGTGTTGCTTTAGTTTGATAGTTTATGGTTTCTTGCATGTATTAATTTTACTTTCAGTTATTTTTTCTGAATACAAAACTTAATGTGTCACATAATTGTTTTGATGTTGTCTGTTTCCATCTACATGAGCTTGGATTCTGTAGCTGCTGCTCCACACCTTAGCAAAACTGCGTGATGGAAAACTCTTTGCTCCATTGACAGAGTATGTTTTTAGCAGAGAAAAAAATGCCATCCAATAAGTTACTCTGAGCTAAGAGGGTCCTGCATTCTTCAATTCTACTTCATCATTTTATAGCTGAAGAATTCTCTCACTGTTTCATATTGGTCCGATCAAAAGAGTTCTTGACAGCAAGGGACAAAGGGTGTACTCTGTCATTACTGACACAATTAATTATTGTCATGTTGCAGTCATCATTTTGATGTGGAATCTCAAAGGCCCTTTTACATTAGTGCCTGTGGCTACATAGTTCCTTGCTTTTCAGGAATCAAAAGATGTTCAAACAGCATGAAAGAAATAATAAAATCTTATTTTTATTTTTTAAGGCCTGATCAAAAAATAGAAGATACGGCAGAAACCAATGCTGAAATCCTTGCTCGTCTCACTTCTGCGGTAAGGTCATTGCATCAAAGTTTGTACTGATCATGTTTGAAAGATTGTCATGTTTTGGATCCTTTCAAATTAAAGACTTAGTCTTAGTGAACAGATGTTTGTATATGCAGACCATTTTTTTCTCTCTGAAAGGGGGAAGCTTTACTGAGGTCTTGGTGTGCAATTCTAAATCTATTAAAATCAGTCCAAGAAAGGACTGCTGCAGCCTGCTCTCTTGTAATATATGGTATATTTGGCCCAGGAGATACCAGTTTGGAAGATCATGGTGATTTTTACGCCAGGTGCTTTACACTCAGACCCTCTTGGTCAAGCGGACATCAGTGTAAAGACAGTGATGGAGTGGAGTGGAAGACAAAGGGAGAGAGAGGTCTTCAACAGCCCTCGTGTAGATTATCATAAACTTCCCAGGAGACCCACCTGGGAAGCCTGAGTATCTTCCTTCCCAACTATGTGTAGCCTCAGTAAACTTTGCCATAGTAAACAACAGCTTATCTTGTCTCTGCTATGATTTGGTGCATATTGTTTATCTTTTTGTAAGATCATTGTTCTAAGAAGCAAACAGACAGGACTCAATTTAATGTAATGTACATAATGGCACAGAGTGTACCTTCAACAAATTTGCAGGTGAGCAAAACTGGGAGGAATGGTTGTGTCATCATCCCTGGAGGTATTTCAAAGGTGCACTTTGGGACATGATTTAGTGGTGGACTTGGCAGTGCTGGGTTAATGGTTGGATTCGATGGTCTTAAAGGTCTTTTCCAGCCTAACTAATTCAATGATTCTTTGGGTGTGTTGCCATTAAGAGGGACCTTGAGAGTCTGGAGAGATGGGTCAACTGGATTTTCAGGAGGATCAAAAAAGGGCGATGCCGTATCCTGCACCTGGGAGAAACAGCCTCATACTTCTATACAGTCTGAGGGCTGACTGAAAAGCACTGTTTCAGAAAAGGACCTGGGGGTCCTGGGGGGGCAGCAGGTTAAACCAGAAACTTGCCCCTGTGGCCAAGAAAGCAAGTGCCTCCTGAGCTGCATTCGTAAGAGTGCTATCCTTAAGTTAAGGGATTGTTCCCCCCTACTCAGCACTGGTGTGCCACATGTGGAGCACTGGGTCCAGTTCTGAACTCCCAATACAAAAGATACATGGATGTACTGAAGTATATACTGATGACCATGAAGATGATCAGGGGAGTAGAATATCTGACTTACAGGGAGAGTCTGAGAGAACTGGGAGTGGAGCTTGGAGAACAGAAGGCTATGGGAGGATCTTGTCAATGTGTACAAATACCCAATGGAAGTGAATAAAGATTATGGAATCAGACTCTTCTCAGTGGCATCTTTTGAGAGGACAAGAAGGGGTGGCATAAACTGAAATGAAAGGAATTCTACTTAAACATAAGAAAAAGCTTATTTACTGTGAGGATGATCAAACAGTAGAGCTGGTTACACAGAGAGGTAGTGTAGTCTCTACCCTTGAAGAGGTTGAGAACTCAGCTGGACACAGTCCTGAGCAGCTTGCTCTAGCTGACCCTGCTTTTGAGCAGAGGTTTGGATCAGATGATCTCCAGAGGTGTTTCCTACCTCAACCATTCTGGGTTCTGTGAACATCACACCTAAATAATAGTATCAGCAAAACCTGGAATTAAGTGTTAGTTCTGGTTTGGGTGTCTAAGTACAGAGATGAAAGTGAGGCAAGCATGCTGAGGTTGTTACCAAAAAGGCATGAAGATAAGACCTATTTTAAGGAAAACAAGTAAAGTACTATCTTGAAACTGCTAAGAAATGGAAGGGA